TTTTAAGAACAAGGTATGTGATGTGCGCGACCGGCCGAGCTCAAGTAAGTATTCCCCAAAGTACTCATACAAGTTTATGTTATGTTTATCAGTTGCAGTAGAACAGCATGCTAGAATAGGACTAATGATCTAGGAATGATGCCTTATGCGCCTGCTTTATGTGTTTAAGCTTATGAGAATTACATGCGAGTATTGAGTAGACAGTAGTAGGATAGCTTGTTTAGGTTATGCCTAATAGTATGAGCTTAGCATTGTATGCTAGTACAGTTTCCTATTATGAGAATATAATTACTTGAGATCGTTCCCTTTTGTCTGAATGTTGCTTGCTTTGTGCTTTGTAGTACTATGAGTGATGGGACTTAACTATTAGGTGAATACGTTAAAGTCATATGTGATCAGGGTTGAATAATCTTAGAGGATTGGATTTGACCCTATTTCGCAGCTCTTGTTTGAGTCCAAACCGTTGTAGGGATGAGTCCTTTGCTCGAAGGGTTATCAGGGCCTCATTGCATGTGATTGTATTCAGGTAATGGCTAATTGGAATTATAAAGAGGCCTTCAGCAGCTAAGGACTGATTTGGGTGGAGTCAAAGGTACCCTAGGGCAAGCCTACGAGGAGAATAGCATAGATCAGTAACAGTAGAAGGGACTTGGTGGAGTCGAGGTAGTTCTTGAGGAAAGTACGGATAGATGTGGAAGGTAGTATGGGACCGTACTAATGAAAGAAGAGGATTCATACTTGAATCAAGGAAGGCTGAGACAAGACCAGGAAACTTGTGATAGATGTGATCCCTCTAGATGTATCAATATCATTGACTTTTGTCACTATGTATTGCGAGAATGGTGGTGCTACGTCCGAGGCCGGCAGTTGGCAGTTCAGGTGTAACACCCGGAATCCGGAAGACCAAGAAAGGAAAGGAAAACCCTAAGTAAAAGAGGTCAAATCGTCGAGTCCTGGGAGAACTCGACGAGTTGGAGCGAGTTCCGCATCGAGATTAAGTGACTGACTCGGCGAGTCGGAGGGACTAACTCAGCGAGTCCGGTCTGGATTAGGAAACCCTAATTTCAGGTGCCAGCACCCTATTTAAAGAACATTTTAGGCCTCCAACCCAGCCTCCATCACCCTCCTCGCCTACTCTCAAAACCCTAAGCCTCCATTGAAGTATTCTTTTCATATTTGAGTGACTTTGAGTGATTTGAAGCTAGGAGGAAGAAAGGAACCTTGGTGATTCAAGAAGGGGCAGTAGATGTAGAGTTATTGTGCTATTTTAGACCATTGGAAGGTATAAAGCTCATACCTTGACTATTTTGCATCTAGATCCTCTCCTTAGTTTGTATTTTGTCACTTTTGGGCCATTTCCAAGGCCAATCCAAGTATTGTGCCTTTGAGGACGAAGAAGACTTCAGATCTGAGTACTTTTGGGTTATAGAAGCTCAGAGTTGTTAGCTTTTTCCATCCATGTAATGAATCAATGAATCGAGTATGAAATTAATCAGTAACAGTAGAAGGGACTTGGTGGAGTCAAGGAAGTTCTTGAGGAAAGTACGGATAGATGTGGAAGGTAGTATGGGCCCGTACTACTGAAAGCAGAGGATTCGTATTTAAATCGAGGAAGGATGAGACAAGACTAGGAAACTTGTGATAGATGTGATCCCTTTATATGTATCAGTATCACTGACACTTGTCACTATGTATTGCGAGAATGGTGGTGCTACGTCCGAGGCCAACAGTTGGCAGTTCAGGTGTAACACCCGGAATCCGGAAGACCAAGAAAGGAAAGGAAAACCCTAAGTAAAAGGGGTCAAATCGTCGAGTCCATGGGAGAACTCGATGAGTCGGAGCGAGTTCCGCGTCGAGATTAAGTGACTGACTCGGCGAGTTTGATCTGGATTAGGAAACCCTGATTTGAGGTTCCAGAACCTTATTTGAAGAACATTTCGGGCCTCCAACCCAGCCTCCATCACCCTCCTCACCTACTCTCGAAACCATAAGCCTCCATTGAAGTATCATTGCCATATTCAAGTGATTTTGAGTGATTTGAAGCTAGGAGGAAGAAAGGAACCTTGGTGATTCAAGAAGGGGCAATAGATCCAAAGTTAGTGTGCTATTTCAGACCATTGGAAGGTATGAAGCTCATATCTTGACTATTTTGCATCTAGATCCTCTCCTTAGTTTGTATTTTGTCACTTTTGGGAAATTTCCAAGGCCAATATAAGTATTGTGTCTTTGAGGACGAAGAAGACTTCAGATCTGAGTACTTATGGGTTATAGAAGCTCAGAGTTGTTAGCTTTTTCCATCCATGTGATGAATCAATGAATCAAGTATGAAATTAATCAGAGTTGATATGAAAGAAATAATTAGTAATTGAACACAAGATGTAAATAAGATTTCGCTTCAGCTCAATTAAGCTTTGTGTGTTTACAGAGAAAAATAGACAAGCCTATTTAAGTTGTCTAACTCTAGTAAATGATCCTATTTATAGGATACATAAAGCATACAAAAAATATACTAAGGCGTTAACTCTAAAGCTTCGAATAAAATCGCCCTAGTAAAATAGATTACAATTCATACGAAGAGTACAAAGTATGCTTCAACTAATTACAGCAAAACAACCCTAACAATCTCCCCCTTTTAAACATAGTCAAAGACTTCAATTCATAAGCAGTTGAATGGAATACAACATCACTCTTCGTATCTCAGTGTACCATGAGATAATCTTCTTAAGTTCCTTTTTATCTCCTTCATTATTCTTCTTACAATGATTCATACAAACGATTAAGTTCGTATATTGAGAAGTTGAGTACCTTTCCACCTCACTAGCCTGGAACAAAAATTGTTTTCATTTTCCAGACTTGTCCTTCCCTGAGAAGACTAATCCAAAAGGCTTCAAGAAAATTTCACCATCAGCATACTTCTTTAAATCTACTTGAGTCTTTAAATGAGCCATAGGAGCTGGAATTTCCAATCCTTTAGTTGTAGCAAACTCTACATCAGTTAATGCTAAGCATTCATAATAATTTTCAATAAAGATATTGATGTGAGTAACTCCAAGCTTGAACTCATCTGGATCAGTATTCTGAAGATAAGAGAAAGATCTTTTCTTCAGCAGTAATGCAACTTGTATAAGATCATACAAGTTCATTAAAGGAAAATCAACAATTGTAAAATCACAAACATTCCCACTCTCCCTGGCCACCACATACTTCATATTTTGGATTGTGTTTTCAAAAACAACATCCTTCTTTATGCTGATTACTTTCTTTTTTCTTACCAATGACCACACCTATTCAGCTGGTTTCGCAAGAACTGCATAAAACCTGTTTTCATATGAGTTCCTTCATCCTTCTCTTTGAATTTTCTTTCAGCTTTGAACTGGGGCATGATGAACATCATCTCATTGATTGGAAAGTCCAATTGGCTTGCATCAGTATTCATGACAATGTAGCTCTATTTTGGCTTCTTTTCGAAGGAATATATGTGATTAAATGCAACCTTGGCTTCAATTGTTTCATAGTTGTAATGGTTTGATGGATCACCTTTTTTCATACCTGGAGGATCACTTGCTCTTTGAGTCATTATACTCTGTACTAATCTCATCCTCTCTAGTTCAGTCTCAGCCTCAACCTTCTTTCTTCCTTTGACTTTTCTATCAAAATAGATTTTCCTCTTGCCTTTGAAGCTGAGTCTTCTATTACTTCTTTCACTTTTGAATCACTCCCACCAACATCATTAGATTTACCATTCACAATTCCTTTTGAAATTGGTCTTGTAGTTGGCACAATTGTTACAATTGTTGAAGAAATTGGACCAGCAGATGCTATAATAGGTTTTGTAGTTGGAATCTTCGAAGGAAACACCTTTCCTACCACTTTCGCATCATCACCTCCAGCCTTCGAAACTTCATCCTTCTTTTCTCCCCCTAGCACCCCTGTAAAAACAGGCGGGGCATTTGTTGTTGGAAGAAGGCTGGATATGCGGGAAATAGGAGCCAACTGTTGGAGAAGTAGAGCTTCGAATTGAGAAAATTTCTGGAAGAGATCATCCGAAGATAGTTGAGAAGACGAAGCTAGTTTTGATGATAAGGCTTTGAGCTCCTTTAAGAATGTGAGGACTTCCACAGAATTTTTGTTTTCAGTTTTAGAAAGTTGAGCTATTTGAGGACTCAAACTTTCATACAACTTAGCAAACTTTGTCACAACATCACAAATTATGTTCACCTTCTGATTTAGAGATGCATATTTTGTGCGAATAACTGCAATCTCTTTTTCCATGTCTTGGCGAAGCTCTTGAATTTTAAAATTAACATCCTCTCGCACCTTCTTAACATCTTGAACGAACAATACATGACGTTCCTTTGTTACCATTCTCAACTCTTTCAAATCACCTTCAAATGCAGACTTCTGAGAATTCACCCTTATCTCATTGTTATGATCACAAATATCAACTTTCTCCAAAAGATGAGACTCGTAATCTTTGATCGTGCCCGAAACTTTTGAGGTGATCCTTCCTTCTAACCGTTTTAACAAACCATCAACTTCTAAACTTTTTACAGAATTACCTCCGCCAAGATCTGCTTGTGATTGAAGAATTGAATTCAACTTTGTATTCATGATCTTGAACTGCTTCGTTGTCATAATCATGTGATCTAGGAAATCATTTTCTTCTTCATCAAACTCCAAGTTCTCAAAAGTTCCTCCAAAACCTTCCGATTCATGCTCAGTTTCCATAAAAATAGACTCTTGAATTGGTGAAGTGGTTGTGGTGGATCAATGGATTGTGAAGAAAAAAGAGAGCTAATTGGTTGTTTGATAATGTTTTCGAAAGTAGGAGAATCAGTGGTGGAAGTAGTGGGTATGACAAGTGTAATTTGTGGAGGAAAAGATACGAAGGTTTCTGAGGTAATAGTCGAAGATTTACCTTGGTTTTCTTTCTTCGAATCATCCTCATCCATGATGACATTTGCATCTGTATTAGATATGTTTACAAGAATGTCAGAAGTTCAGGCCTCCTCAAATAATGACTTGGCAATCAAATCTTCAGATGGTATAACAATTGTCTGGGTAGGAGTAGAAGTATCTTTGTTAAGATTGGCTTCAGGAGTCTTTAGAATAGTTTCATCTTCATCAGCTGTAGACTCAGAAGAGATGGTCATTTTGATTTTCTTCTTCTTCTTCTTGGAAATGTGTTTAGCCATATCAGCAGCCCTTCGTTTCTTTGATGAGGGTGAAGCAGGCGCTGGAACTTCACGAAATAGAAGTCCTTGATGAGTAACCTGTGGCTTTCGGACAACATTCATGAGTGGAGATCGGCTCTTGTGCTTTGATTTCATTTTGATTTTTTCGAAAAACACCGGTCTTCGAAGGAATAATTTCTTTTGAGTCAAGGGTGTATCAGCAACTGAAACTTCCTGTAAATTTGGCTCTGCTTCAGTAATTGGTAACTTCTTTGGAACCTTCGTAGATTTAGACTCTTTGATTTGTTTCTTAGAAGAACCATCATCAGTCTTCTTCGTACGTTTGGACTTCATCTCTTCTCTTGCCAAAAGAATTCCATTCTCAACAGTTGTATCAATTGTTTGCAAATAAGTCACTAGAACGGTATTCGTTTGATCAACTCGTTTGAGCATTGCATCTGGAATACGAGCTACAACTTGAAACTCCTCAACATCATCAGTTTCATCCTTCGGCGAACTATACACATGAAAAACAGCTTTTTCTTCATCATCAGGATCCATAATCCCCTCCTTCTCATAGAAATATTGCAAGATCAAGATCCGGTATCTCGCACACGAAATGTCATGAAGAGAATTTGTGTTTTCAATACTCTTCAAAAATTCTTTCCATAACTGACCAGAGTAATCCACTTGAAGATCATAATAAAGCCCGGCTACCATGGCATAAACATCCATTCTACCCTTGTCCAAACCAACTGTTCTTCCAGTCAAACACCTCAAGAAAATACCAAACAAGAAATTCCAAACACTAGGAAGACCAGACTTCTTGAAATCACTTATCTTTGATAGTTGAGGTTGATGGCCAATTTCATTAAACATATGTACAATTTGTGGAAAGGTAAAATTGACATAAGGTGAGGAATTAGGGATATCCATAATCTGACAAAAAAGCTTCTTTGATAGTCTGACCTTTTTATCAGTCACCAAATTGAAAGTAACTGCATCCAAAGCTTTTGAATAGGTAGTAGTTGATCCATCTTGAGAGATCCATGAAAGCAGAACAGAAAACGAGATAAGCATAGCTTTTGATAGTACATAACTCTTCAAAGCAATGATTAGCATCTTGAGTTCTTTAGGTTACTGAGAAACATATGCCTCCACTTGATAATTCGTACCATGAATCTTCATAATCGGCAAAGAAGTAACATCATCAGTGGTGTGAGAAAGAGTTGCATCAGGATTAGCAGCAGTTTCCATTGTTATGGTTTGAAAGCTTGATGTTTATCAGAGAGTATTTGGGAATTATTGAGTTTGAAAGCGTAAATTGATAATGAACCTTTGAATCCCTTTTTATATGTAACCCTTGATTTTGAAATAACAGCGGGATGTGCATTTAATGAAATTTGACGTGTCACCGAGAAAACCGCATCATGATGATGATAAAGTAACCATGCGTGATAAAGTAACTGTCACGTATCCTCAAAACCCGGATAGAATACAAAACGTCCCCTCAAACAGGCTAGTTTGGTTGCCCTAATGGAAGAGTAACCGTCGGAACACTTCGTATGGAAGTAAGGCTCTATTACTTTAGGGTTTCAAAGTAAAGTCATTTGCCAAAATTTTCAAATCATCAGCCTGAGTTGGTATTACTCAGAACCTCAAGGATTTTTGTATGTGTAGTGTTTCAAAGAATGTAGATGAGAGGCAAGAAAAAAAATTGGATATTCAGTGATGTCAAAAATTCAATTTGACACGAAGGCAATTAAAACCCCGGGCAAAGATTGCTTCTTTAATCATCAAGAGAGATAATTGTTGATGTATTTTGTAAAAAATCGAATAGAGTGTTTTGTGTTGTTTCGCATTTTATGTTATTTTACTAAGTCATTTTTTGTGCGAAGTGAAAATGTATAGACTTAGTATATTTTTTGTCAGTTCCCTATAAATAGGGACTTAGGCTAGAAGTAGAGAAGATGAATGCTAGAACTCTCTTCTGCTTATTGTGTAATTAGTCTTAATCAATATGAGATCTGATTAATATTTACTCTTTGTGTTCTTCATCTTTAATCATTCAAATCTATCTTTTCTTTTCTAAATTCTCGATAACAATTCTCATCAATTGGTATCAGAGCAGGATTCAAACTGCTTAGATCTGATTTTCGTATAAGAATCATTTGCTTTTTGAGTTACAAATTTACTCAAAATTTTCCGCGCATTTTTGGTTTTGAAAATCACTATTGATCTTCAGATTTGAATTGATTCTGTATTTGAATTGTTAAGTCGAGTAATCGATTAGTGATTTGTGATCAATTCATTTGATAAAATTCTGAAATTCATCAAGTTTTCAAGTTTTCAGATATTTTCTGTGTTCATCAATGGCAAACTTCAACATGAATTCAATGACTTCTTTCTCTCACTTGCTTGGTTCCTCAACCAAAATTCCGATGTTAGTTCCAGAATACTATGATCAATGGGCTGATAGAATGGAAGATTACTTAAATGGAATCGATGAAGAACTTTGGAAGTGTATCGATGGAACAGTACAAGCTCCTGCTAATGTTCAACCAATTGGATCATCCACTGCATCTACTGATGTTGAAGAACAATGAAATCGACTGAAGAATAATGAAAAGAGATGCATGAGAGAGCTAAGAGGTGCTCTACCTCCTGTGGTTTACAATTACATTCGTAGTTGTAAAACAGCAAAAGATATCTGGAATACTCTAAAATAAAAGTATCAAGGTAACGAAAAGACGAAGATCAACTCTGTGAAACAATGTCTAGTTGAACTGAAGGAATTCAGACAAAAGGATACAGAAACTCTCGAAAATTGCTATGATCGTCTGAATGAGCTTATGTTTCGCTGTAATAGGTATGGTATCACTAGATCTCTCATGGAGTTCAATTTAACTTTCATTATGGGTCTTCGCAAGGAATGGCGAAGTGTGAGCATGATAATTAAGAATCAACAAAGTTTTGATACAACTACATTGAATGATCTTTACAATCAACTGAAAACACATGAATGTGAGGTCACAGAAATGTATGAAGAATCAAAACAAGTTATTGGTGGTCCTTTGGCTCTTGTTTCAAAGGTATTAGAAACTGATGAAAAAGATGGTTTAGATGAAGAAGGATTTTTGATTAACTCGGATGATGAAGCTGTAGCATACTATTCAAACAACAGAGTTAAAAAGTTTTTCAAAAAGCCTTTTAATCCAAAAGGAAAGAATAGTGATGTAAAAAATGATGTCACAAGAACTGGAGGGGAGGAGAGGAAGAAAATAGAGAAAATAGATGAAAAACAGAAAAATGCGAATGAAGAGAAAGAGTTGAAGGGTGATTCAGGAATTTATTGTCACTATTGCAATGGTGCGAATCATTTCGCAGCTGATTGCATGTTGCGAAAGAAAGAAGAAAAGAAAGAAAAAGTTAAAGATGAATGCTAGAACTCTCTTCTGCTTATTGTGTAATCAGTCTTAATCAATATGAGATCTGATTAATATTTACTCTTTGTGATCTTCATCTTTAATCGTTCAAATCTATCTTTTCTTTTCTAAATTCTCGATAACAATTCTCATCAATTGGTATCAGAGCAATTGATGAGAATTGTTATCGAGAATTTAGAAAAGAAAAGATAGATTTGAAAGATTAAAGATGAAGCTTACTACTCCGAAAAGATTGAAGAATTACGTGCTAAGACCAAAGGAGTGTCTTCAGTTGCTAAGGGAGAATCTGATGTAGAAGAAAGTGGAACTTATCAGGTCTGGTCTTCAGGATCTGATGACGAAGAAATGAGGCATCCCACACATGGAGCAATGTTCGCAAGTTTTGAGGATTGCGAAGAGAACATTTTAGGGCGATGTTTTGTGTCTAAATCCACTGACAAGTCACCCATGACAACCAAGGTACGTGCAATTCTTGAATCTTTTAATATTCCATTATCTGCTTATGATGCTGAAATTGTTTCATTTGATGATATTGTGGCTTATTTTGATTCTGTTATTGTGTCTGCTAGTAATGAAGCTAAGAAATTAAATGTGCAACTTAGTGAGACACGAAGAGATTTAGAAATAAAGAAGAGCGGAGTTGAAAAATTGGAAATGCAAGTCAAAAATATAGATTGTGATAGGAATAATCTTACTAATGATGTTAGGTTGTTGCTAGCACAAAGAAACATATATTGTAATTCTGCAAAATGATTGTATGCAAAATTAACATCTTTACATCATTCTTCTGATATTAGCAAAGAACAACATAGGAAACTTTTACCTTTTCTTGAGTATGAACGTGAAAAAGTTGATGTTGTTTCTTATGATTGTGAAAGTACAATTGCTCAGTTTGACAAAATACCTGATGATAGATATTCATATGGTATTGTCAAAATTGATGAATTTCTGAATGCTGATGAGTTGGTTAACATTGTAAATGAAAGTTTGACAAAAAGTGAACAAGTGAAAATCATAAAGAAAACTGAAAATTCAACTCTTACTTCACAATTCAATTATGCTGATATTGATGAAAATTCTAATAATGTAAGTGAAATCAGTGAGATAGAAGAAGAAGAAGAGATTGATTGTTCTCAATTGTCAATCATTAATATCAGATCCAAGATCAAACATAAAGAAATAATAGTTAATTCAATAGTAGAGGATGAAATTGATAAATCTTCAACTTCGCAACATTGTAAGTTTGATAATGTGGAAATTGAAAGCTGGAAATCTGATGATATTGATGAAAATAAAGAAGAAAAGAAAATTTCAACTGAAACACATCAAAGAGTTGTGGTTGATCAAGTGTTTGAAAATACAAAAGAATTTAACAAAATTTTAAATGACAAAGGCGCACATTATTTGGAAACTAATACAGTGGTATATCCAAATTTTGTATGTACTGATAAAACTATTTTTCCAAATCAAGTTTTTGTCACTACTGGAAATGCTGAGAAAGTTCATCCTGAGTTCAATAAAATGATTGAAAAAGATAATCAAAAGTCCACAACTGAAGGTTTTTTCGCAAATCAAAACACAGAAGAAAACAATTTAACCCAAAATCCTTATGTGTTTCAAAAACAAAAATCATTACAAAAATGGGTGGTTAAGGGTGAAAAATCAAACAAAATTTTTGAAAAAGCTGAAAACTCAAAGGTTGAAGTGAAACTAAATTCTCAAAAATTCAAATTGATGGTTGGAAATTATTCAACAGAAAATAATGTTTCAAAAAGACAAGCAAGAAAAGCAATATTTTGGCAAGTTGTGTCTAATAAAAAATCAACAGATGAAAAAGAACAAATTTCAAAAACATCTTCAAAATTTCAAAACAAAAACACACAAATATATTCAAGTTTTCATAAACAA